TTTCCAGTTACTTTATTCAAAGTTCCAAAACGGGAACCTTTTTATTTACGTCATTGATGTTTGATTTGTATACTGTAAAGTGAAAGAATCAGATGGAATTTAAAAGTTTGTTGTATGGGAAGTAGGCGTGGTTGTCATCCTTGTATAATATAAATGTTTTGTTAAAAACACATCAAATTTGGTTGAAATTGGTCAAGAAGCTTTTGAGGTATAGGATTTCACCTAAAGATGGGCGGTGACACGCTCGTTGCCAATTTTTACACCTGCTTCTATAAAACCCCTCTACCATCTAAGTTGAATATGAAATTTAATGGTTGTGCTTCAGTTATTCAATGAGTTATCGCACTTTTAATAGTTTTCAACACAACCGTTATATGAAGAGTGGGCGTGGTTACTTTCACAGTGAATGTAATGGTGCTAAAGGGACTTCTTCTCAGCAAGTTTGGTTGATTCAGCTTTAGCGGTTTGAAAGATATTTACATTTAACCATTTAGGGGCCGTGCCATGCCCCTTTTATAAATATTTTGTCCACAGATGTCCCTTGCTACTACGGCTCTCTGTTCCAAATGTTGCGTATCTTATTTCAGTGCTTACTTAAGGCACTTTATAGGTTTTCGTATAATGGTGTTTTGTGGGCGTGACAGTGGTCCAATTACACCCATCTGCAATGCCGACCGCCGTCAAGAATGACATGAAATTTTTCAAACATGCCACTGTCGAATGAAAATATATTGACTATTTTAAAAATTATCTTTTTTCGTTTTGCATTTCGATATTATTTTAAGATGCTCGTATGCCGATTATATCTATATCACGCATACACAGCCATTAAAAAAAACTATAACAAAGAAACAATACAACTCATAATCAAATATCATCATTATATGATTAACGTTTTAATGTGCAAAAATTGCACATTTATAACAAAGAATAGAAAGAAAACTTTATCTGCACATTATTCAAAAGTATTTGTGTCGTTAATTCAAATTTCGTTTCGCACTGCTTTGTCAGCTACTTTTAGCAGGTTTAATTTTCGCATCCCGTGTATTTTGATATCATCTGTTCAAAATTCTAGTATTAGCACTTTTGATTTAGTCTTTCTTTGTGCGTCTCATTTTGACTCCTCTTCTTGAAGAAATGCAATACTTTCAATGAAATGTACCGTAAAACGTCCTTACTAAATGTGGATGCGTCTATTGTGTTTTGCCAACAACAAGCAACAATGAAGTAGTTTTGAATATCGTTCGTAACATTTTGTCAAAAAAGTGACTATTGGAGAAACTAACGGCATATTTCGGTATACAGAAATGGAAGGAATAAAAGTAAAATTAACAGAAATTTTCATTTTATTTTAGCAATCACTTTCCAATTTCCGTTTGCATTTCCGTTTTAATTAAAGGTGTGCTGCTACTGACAACATTTGTCTCGTCGGAGGCTTGACACCAATTGGAGTGGTGGAGGGGATGACAGCAAATTTGCAAACGATAATAACACTCGTCAGCGTGACAGCGTAAGTGACAATACAGCAATGATTTCGGTACGTCAACTGTACATCAGTCTATATGTTTGCGTGAATCTGTATACACATATGTGCAAGCTCCTATGGGCGTCAGCGATAATTGCAGTATATGTACGTCAGCCAAAACGAGAGCTAACAAAACTCAGATATGTTGGATGCTTACCCGTATGTGGATTATTGAGCCTTGAATCCAAATTGCAGGCGTCATTTCCAATTACACCAAATCTCGGTCGCACTGAGGAGGAAAAATAACGAAATAAACTTGCTTTCAATAGTTGGAAAACTAGTAATTGACTGAGCGCAGTGAAGCTATATTTCAGCGATAATCTACTGCATTGCTACGAATGCCGTTATTAAATTGACCCAAAAATTGGTTAGAACATTCAAAGCTCAACAGTTGAAAGCTCTTTTTATAGTTTAACAAGTTCGCTTTTTCCATTAATATAAAGAAAAATATATTTGGCAATCAGAAATTCATGTATGGAAAGCGAGTAGGCTTTGGTTCCATTGCTCGTCTTTATTTAGCATACTTTTTTCTTCCTTTTGGAGTCGAGTTTCGGTCTTAGAGATGTAGTCTAAAGATCCTAAGCCCTTAAGGTCTTAATTCTTTTAAGGGGTTACTAAGGTCTCATCGGGTAAAACATACTTTATTCAAACTTTTTATCCTGTTTTAAAGATACACATTTGATGAAGAATTTTTAAAATTTCGGAAAAAAATACTTAAAACTCCGCCATTGTGACGTCACTTTCGGCATTGTTGTAAACGAAATAAAAAAAATCCCTTCCCAAACTCACCTTCTGATGCTTCATAATGTCTTCTGTAATTGTTTAAAACCCCTTAAAGAGCTATAACCCTTAATAGCGATGCTGAAAACACAAAATGAGGTATTCCGAATTATTTGTTGGCCAGTTTAATGCGTGCTCATGGCATATTTACCTAACTACTCCTATAATAATTCCTGTTAAATGTTATTTTGAATAACGTGCCTTTAGTTCGTGTTCAAAATGGAGAAAATAAGTTAAGACACTTCTTAGCATCATACTCGTACGCCCGCTATTATTAAAAAACATAAAATTTTTATACTCTCGCAACATGTTGCTACAGTATAATAGTTTTGTTCATCTAACGCTTGTTTGTATCACCTAAAACTAATCGAGTTAGATAAAGGGTTATGTATATATTAGGTAAAGTAAAAAGTTCGTTCGGTTTTTTATTGATTTTTCAAAAGATGATAACTTTGTGTACATTTGTCCGATTTAAGTCAAATATGCGCCTTTTGTTCGTAAACTTGTTGGCAACGAGATGCCAACTTCATTATACCCCTCTCGTAGAAGACTGTGTCCCTATTGCCAAAAAACTCGGAGAGCCAATTTTCACAGGCCTCTCTTGATGCCATCTTCTCACCATTAAGCACGTTCGCCATGGACAGGAAAAGATAGTAATCACTTGGTGCCAGGTCCGGACTATAAGGTGGGTGCATTAGAGCCTCCCATCCGAGCTCCAGGAGCTTCTGGCGAGTCACCAAAGACGTGTGTGGCCTGGCGTTGTCCTGATGGAACACAATTCGGTCTCTGTTGATCAAAGGTGGCCTCTTCTGGATGAGTGCTGCCTTCAAGCGGTCCAGTTGTTGGCAGTAGAGGGCCGAATTGAGCGTTTGGCCATAGGGGAGCAGCTCGCAGTAGATGATTCCTTGCCCATCCCACCAAACACACAGCAAAACCTTCCTGGCCGTCAATCAGGTCTTGCCCACCATCTGGGACCTAGCAAATCCTATTTGTGCTACACGTTCGTTTACAGTATCGGGCCCATAAACTAAATTAATGTTTTCAGCCGCTTTGGCTGCTTTTTCGCTTTGATCGCAGAAAAATTGTAAAATATAGCGAATTTTCTCTTTGTTGGTGTCCATCTTTGACGAGCGCTCACAACGAAGTGAGTAAATCAATCGAAAAACTGTCAAAAACAAACTTTTAGAGCGAATAAACACGTTTTCAGCGCCGTATAGTATGACATGATGCGACCCGTAACACTAGTACTATGGACAATAACGCCATCTCTTTGATAAAAACCGAACGAACTTTTTACTTGACCTAATATAAATGATCAGGATGAAAAGACGAGTTGAAATTAGGGTGACTGTCTGTCCGTCCGTGCAAGCTGTAACTTGAGTAAAAATTGAGATATTTTTATGAAACTTGGTACACATGTTTATTGGCACAGTAAAACGGTTGGTATTGCAGATGGGCATAATCGGACCACTGCCACGCCCACAAAACGCCATTAATCAACAACAAATAAATTGTCATAACTAAGCTCCGCAATAAGATACAAGACTGTTATTTGGTACACGAGATCACATTAGGGAGGGGCATCTGCAGTTAAAATGTTTTTTTTTAAGTGGGCGTGGTCTCGCCCCTTATAGGTTTAATGTGCATATCTCCTAAACTACTTAAGCTATAATAACAGAATTCACCGAAAGCAAATGTTTTCAGCACCTCTACGTACGGTGTGAAAATGGGTGAAATCGGGTGACAACCCCGCCCACTCCCCATGTAACGGTACTGTTAAAAACTACTAAAAGCGCGATAAATCAAGCACTAAACACGCCAGAGACATTAAATTTTATCTCAGGGATGGTATGAGATGACTTTTTAGGAACCGCGTTCAAAATTAGACAGTGGGCGTGACACCGCCCACTTTTAGGTGAGAACCCATATCTTGGGATCCTTTTAACCGATTTCAACCAAATTTTGTACATAACATTCTTTTTATATTTCTATGGTATGGTGCGAAAATGGGCGAAATCGAATTACAACCACGCCTATTTTCCATATGAAACCCTTTTTAAATTCCACTTGATTCTTTTACTTTCCACTATGCAAATCAAGCAACAATGATTATATCGGCGTAAAACTTTGCGTGACCTTCTACCGAAAATATCAGTCAATCCACAAAGAAATCTCAAACGAGTATACTATTTGACTTTGCGAGAGTATAAAATGTTCGGTTACATCCGAACTTAGCCCTTCCTTACTCTTTTAGGTATATCATCGTTTACGTGTATCCTAATTATATAATTCAAGAAGAAAAAAGGTTATAGTGTTATGTTAAATATGCTCAAAATAGTATTTTTACTGTCTCATTTTGATTCATCATTAAGGTATCGCTTTCGCTCTAACCTGTTTAATATTTTTACCCGTTAAGTTAAGGAAGTACAATTCGTTACTCATTCTGTTTGCCATGTAAATCACAATGAGACATCATATCAAAAGTCAATCAAACGGACTATCACTTTCCACGAACATCGGATTAATGCGAGTGTGAGCTCACTTTCAGTTTACCATACAAAGTAGCACGACCATTCATGACGATATTACCATTTCGTACGAGTGTATGCGTGCGTCATTATATAATTATATCGCTTACGAGTACACAAACAACTGCAGTGTTAAAATAATTTCGATAATAATTGCGAATACTCACCCAACAGATCATTGACGCCGGCGAATGTCATCACCAGGGATGCAACGAATAAGTCCGCTATCGCTAATGACGCCAGAAATAAATTGCCGATGCGCCGCAAACTGCGTTCCGTATAAATGGCGAGACAGACGAGTATATTGCCGGCGACCGATAGAAAAATCAGCACTGACAGGAAGATGCCTGCGGGGTGTGGTGTGCATTCCCCGGGTGTCGATGAAGTGAGATGAAGGCGGGCAAAAGGAAAATCAGCGTGAAAACTTACTATGCCATTCAGTACAAAACGCTTACGAGCACAAATACTTATGCATATGAGCCATCAAATATGTATCGTGAAATGATATGTGAGATATGCGAAGGTAAAATTAATAAGAAGTGAACAAACAGCGGTAAAATAAATAAGAACATATAGAAAAACACGAACATCAAAATCGAATCGGAAAAGCAGTGTAGTAGTGCATTTCGTTGAGGAAAGTAAGCGTACAACTATGCGACTGAGTGCTTGTGACAGAGTAACGGAGAAGAGATATGAGACCTGTGATCTGAGGTTGAAATGAGCAGCGAATTTCAAATGTCAACCGATGCAATAGACGACGGATGCAGGTGTCAGAACATGCGACATGCTAGCATTCGAAAACTGTTTCTTAGCAACTTGTTGGTGTTTTTGAAAATTGTGAACAAAGTGTTTCTGATCATTCTGGGAGAAATCAAAATTTTTAGGTGCGGCAAATAATAATATCTTAATGAAAATTTATAATACTTAATGCTATACGTTTGTGACTCCGAAAACTCGGAGAGCTCTTGTCTTTGTTTTGAATTTTATGTCGAAGATTTTGGTTTTTGAATCCACACAACTTTTCGACTTTGGGATAAAAGTTTCCGATTCTTCATGTTATGCTTGATTGGGTAATATAACGTTAAAACAAATTTACAAATTGGGAGTTATTGCGTCGATTTCAATAGACATACAAGCAGCAACTTCTAAATTAGTTTAATAGAAGTCATCAGTCAAGTTCATTATGTCTATTATTATTAGTTCGTTATTAGTTCCAGCCTTTCTAGAACCTATTTGCAAACGGAGATCCGAACAAATATTTCTTGTCACAAAATAACCTCAAAGTTTTTGATATTTCTGCCTACTTGAAAACAGCATTGGAACCGAAGAATATCTATTATAGTAAAAATTCGACGAATAAAAACTTTTATATATAGTCACGATCCATCTTATGGGTGTTCTTGAGAAAGATTTTGGAAGAAATAAATTTTTAGTATTAGTCAAATGAGTTCAAGTTGTTGGTGGCTGAGCAAGAGTTACAAAACCACTGTATTATAAAGACGAAAAAACGAATCCACTTTGGCAAAGTTGCGAATAATTGCAACGTATATTTTAGTTAAAAAAACAATAATAATTAAAGACCCAAAATTAAATTTATGTGTATGCGAGTATAGGTGTGTGTAGATGCCTAAATAGTAGGTGATTTTTTTGTGTGCGTGTGTTTATTCATTCACTTGATAGACATTCAACGACATTTACTTTACCAACAACTAAAATTGACACAAGAGACACCGCATCAGGTTCCTCACCCACTATCGTGTCGGCCTCAGAAGGATTTATCCACGACGTGTCATTGAAATAGGAAGTTAGCTGAAAAAAAAAACATTGACGATATATTACTGAAAAGTGTCAGAAAGTTTTTGCAGTAAATAAATACGATGTATTATGCTGTCCGTTATTTACAAAGTTTCTTTTTTTTGACGCCGCCCAATAAAGTTTTAGTGTTTGTCTTAAAGAATATTATCGACAGCAATCTCTTTATTTTCACTTTAAACCGTGCCTAAATCATTTTACTTTTCGCATTATATAACATGAGGTTTTTTGCTATTTTTCATTGAGCAAATGAACTTACAACCTTGTAAAGAAGATATACATAAACAAGATTCTACAATTTTCAAAAAAGGGTTTTTCTATAAAACCCTTATAAATTCTATTCATCTGATATCTGATGATATAGATTATTATGTGCGGTATTACAAAGTACGACTAGTGAGGCATTTATCTCAAAAATAGCTTCGATTCGCTAAGCGTTGGAGAGTAGTGAATCGAACAAACTAGACCAGTTTTTCAAACAAACTGGCTGTTCCTAGCTGTGTACGAGTAACTTATGCTTTAACATGTCCTCTGACGCATGCTCAGTTGTGTCGCCTTTCTTTCTATCGCCAGATAACTTTTTTTGTAACTTGGCTCTTTGTAAATGGCTCTCTGGTATCTAATTCAACGCGATAACTTTGTTGTTGCTTTAAAATGTAAATCTTTTGACAAGAGAGCAGCATGAAATCTAGTGAGTAGAAGAATGGCGTATTGCTAATAACTAATCTATACTAATATTATAAAGAGGAAAGCTTTATATGTTTGTTTGTTTGAATTGAATAGGCTTCGAAGCTACTTGATGGACTTGAAAACTTCTTTCACTGTTGGGAAACCGCACCATCTTCGGTGAACATCGGCTATATTATATTTTCTAAAAAGTTAAAGATTCTTACTAAAACGCCAGTAATGTTAACCAAGGTGTAAAAAAATTACCTTAAAAATTCTTTACATAGCATGCGCTGGGAATACTATTCATTATAGAACAAAATAATGTACTATGACTATGCAGCACATATTATTATCTACAGCCTCCTAACAGCATATATCTGACTGTTGTAGTTATGTCACAATAAGTGTTCTTTTAATTGAAAAATAATAATTAAAATAAGACCTCTGCAAAAGCTCGGTATTAATCCTTATCAAAACTAATTACTTCATATTCAAGACTGTTTCAATATCTTTATATAACTTTTTGAATTATTCGATTCAGACATTCCATGCGAAAGATATAACGAATTTGACTGAAACATAATATACAATGTATATGTATTGAATAATTTTTGCTTGAATATATTTGCAATATATTTTATGCTTTAAAACACCCTAACTCTGTTGGCTTCATTGGCTCCGTTGGCTCCGTTTGTCTCCGAAAATCATAACTTACACCAAACACAGCATTTTTAACAACAATATACAAAATAATCACAGTAAGCAATCCACTTGCGCTGGCGCCATCTGGAATTAAATAATAATGTTGCCCTAATCGTAATGTTGTTTCATGTTGAAAATGGATGGAAACACTTCCTTCGTTCTTTTTTTTCATACACATAGCATAATAACTTTGATTTTTTATCGTCTATATCGTTCTGAGTATTAGATGTTTAAAAAAAATTAACCAAGTATATTTCTTATATGAAACAAAGTATAGCATTGGTATTTAAAATGAGCATAATCGGTTGTCTATTTCAGCAATAGGTTTAGTTTAAAAGTACTGTAATTTATAAAAGTATTTTGTAGAAAACTTGAAATATTTCACTCTCCTTTAATTCATATATAGAGTTCATTCTTATTTGTTTTAGGCTTTATTTCTTAAGTTACCACTTATAATATCATATTTTCATATATATTTCGAGTAAAAAGAAGATTTGATTCTATTTAGCTACGGTATCGTAAAAAGGTTACTTTGCCGCTGTTTTCTAAACGTAATTACGAAACATAAACAATATTTTTTTAAATTTCAGAAGAAATAAAAAGGAGAAGAAGTATCGAAAGCTCAAGACTTTCAATTGTAAGCTGTCCTGTACTCCTGACTCATATTATTAGGCAAACTATAAAAAACGTTAAACATTATAACTCGAACAACGACTAATACCTACCACATTCCTCCTTCTCCGTTATTTTTGCAAGTCATTCTTTCTCTAAAAGGCTGCCAAATTTTATTAACGCGTTGACGCGAATATTTACCATTAGCGCACCAAAGCCAAGCCAACGGCAAGAAGTTTGTTGTACATTAGTTTAATAATCCTTTTGCATTTGGAATTTGGTATTTTCTAGCTACGAGAACTTTTTTGTATTCACTTGCAATTTGCGCACAGGTCAATTTGCCATCGTAACTGTCAAGTGGCTGTCAAAATTTGACAAGAACTGACAGCTCAACTGCGAATGTGTGAGTGACTTCAAGAAAAATTCCACTGCCATCACCACCTGCAGACACGATGGAAAAATAATAATACCGTGTGCAAAAGCGAGACTTTTAGTTTCCTAATGAAAATCATTCATTATTAGCAAACCGCACCCAAGACATGCTAATATTCGAAGCTCTAGTTGTTGTCAGAATACTACCATAAACAGATGTAAACAGCTGACGCCACTACGTTTAAAGAAGTGCTTGCTGTCAATATTTGCAATAACGACACTAAATTAAAAAAAAAAAAGTGTAAGTATTCAAGCACAGGGTTGCATTTAGTCTGCGTTAACTTTTTGACACTTTACATAATGATTTAATTGTATAAGGTTGACAGCTGTCGTAAACGTTTTTTTAAGTGATGCACGGATCATTGTGCCAACGCTGTTTCAATGCAAAGTGCTATTAGACGAATTTTCCATGATTTAAATCTACTTAGGCCGAAATATTAGAGAGATTTCAACAGATTTTAGTAACCCTTAACAGCCATTTATAAATCAATTCTTTCAAAATTCGACTCCAGTCGTAGTATATTTTCACAAAGGCGTGAAAGCCTAAAGTTGGTGCTAAATTTGCAAAACCTCACCATTTCAGTTTAATTGATCGCTCAGCAATTTGCCGAAATTTACAATTTCATAGTCTGCGGTGTAACGGGTTCGTTAACGAATTTGCACTTTAAGGAAGTGTCGTGGTATGAGACTTGCGATATTCGTAGGCAGCTGCGAAGCCAGCCAACGTAAATTCACTGTAATTGTTTAGAGCTTTAAACAATTCTCTATCTTAACTCTCACACATAAACACAGATGTTCAAATGTATGCATGGATTGCAGTTGATGGGTCGGTGGGTATGTTGATGGCTGGTCAGCTGCTCTGTGGTTTGCCGCCACAAATTTAATCAATTTACTAACCGCAAGTTCAGTGGTTACACAATTTGGAAGCGAAGCGTGTACATTTCGTTATTTTGGGTCGGTACTACTAAAGGTTAGGTAAGTTTGCCAAAACTTAGACTTAAAATGCACAAAATGATTCGACTTGCTAACAACTTGGAGCTTGATAATAGCAGCATTTTATATTTAGCAAAGGAAACATGATAAAAGTCTAGTACTGTAAAATCGAATTGATTGAATATTGATCGGTTTTAGTAGCAGCATGTGAAAACTAACCGAAAGATAGCATTCTTTTTCCAGCTGCTAAGACAGCTTAAATGGATAGGACCGTTATCGAACTATATTAAAAAACTCGTACACTTACCAATTAAGAATCTCAAGATAATATTATACAAATGTTTAAAAACGCACCATTCACAAAGAGAAAAGAGATTAATTAAAATATAGTTCATATAATTTTACCGCTATAATTGAAAGAAGGAAAACAATTCCATTAATTCGTATCCGCACGCAATATATAATATCTCAGATTATTCCCATTTTGTTCACTGTGTTATTGTTTCTAACATATAAAAACAATCGATAAAGGATTAAATCTAAAAAAATTCAGGATAACGTGACAGATAAACATAGTTTAACAGTTCCGTATTAGACCGTGATTCCCATTATTATAAAAATTTTCATTTCACATAAGCTATTTCACCGATTGAAAACAAATTTGGTTCAAAACGTTTTATTACATCCGAAATCACATTATGACTACGGTCAGTTCTAACAGCTGAATATATTCGATTGCAAAATATTTTTCGGTACCACAACCGAGCAATAAAATGATGAATGCATTTATTTTTGTTACTTCAGCTGACCGAGTTTTAATGTGATCGAGGAAGTGGGCCGCTACCAGCTTATCTAGTATCTAGTACTTGTGCTTTACCCCATTTGTGATCTAAAATGAATATAGCCTGGGTGGGTTTAATGGGTAATTTCATCGTTTTCTTTCTTGCAGTCGAATACTGATTCAGAAGGGAGTAAGGCCAAAAGAAAAATTGCTTATGAAAGCGAAAATCTTTCGCAGTCGGCGTAAAGCTTGTATGAGCAAGTGTTCTTTTTTACATAGAAATATGATTGTAAACAACCGTAAATTGGACAACGATGGCATTCGCCAGAATTTGATTTGGGCATAAAAGTATATTCAAAGGCGCTTAACACAAATTCCATCAAAACTGTTTGATGGATTAATTACGGAAGGAATTGCTGTATTAATGGAATTTTAAAGCCTTAAATACATAGCTGAACGCATAATGTTTTCGCAAATAGTAGTTCATTTAATTGATTTTTTTACAAATAGCAAATAATTAAATATTATAGTAAATAAAGCAGTGCGTGGCGTATGGGCAAACTTTAAGGTCGCATAAAAAAAAGTTTTATGTTGATTGAAAAGAGCATAAAAAGAAATTCACCCATAAAACACAAATAATACCTAGCGAATGCGTAAAAACCACAATTGCAACAATAATAATACATAAAGGGTGATTGAAAAGCGCAGTTTGCAGATGCCGTATTTTTACACGCACTTACAGCCAATTAGTAGTGCGCCAGCAATGCATGTATTAAAAGCCAACACACTTTCATCGGCTCAGCACTGATGGATTTTCGCCGCTGCAATTGTGGTTACTTCGTTATTCTTTCCTCTTTCATTTAGCTTC